ATTTGGCTGTGCCAGAAAAATGGGATTGTTCCACATAAAATCGTACAGAAAACAGATAAAATCACCAGGCATGTGAAAGGGTCAGGCTGAGGGCTTCCCCCCTCCTCCCTACCTGCTAGGCACTCTTTAGGGAGGGTGGGTAGACTAAAGCTCCCCTCCCCAATTCATATGGGACCATTTCTGGCTGTTCCCCTTCTTTAGGGAGCAAGGGGAAAGTTCTCAGTTTGCTGTATTCCCCACTCTTGCTCAGGTCAAGTGTGGGTCCAATGTCACAAAAGAAGTGTAGGACAAAGCAGGGAATTGAACCCATGTTTCCAAAGTCATAGGACAGTGCCTACAGCCATCCTATCTATCTACTGAACAGTACATTCCATTTTGTGCTATGTGCAGTACACAATCTAACCTTCCCTGAAATGAGCCTATTTTAGAATCATAGAACCCTAAAACTGGAAGGGACCCTGAGAGGTCATCAAGTCCAGTTCCCTGCCCTCATGACAGGACCAAGTACTGTCTAGATAATCACTGACAGGTGTCTGTCTAACCAGCTTTTAAATACCCCTCTAGGCAATTTATTTCAGTGTTTAACCACCCTGACGGACAGGAAGTTTTTCCTGATGTCAAAACTACATCTCCCTTGCTGCAATTTGAGACCATTGCTTCTTGTCCTATCCTCAGAGACCCAGGAGAACAATTTTTCTCTCTCCTCCTTATAACACCCTTTAGAAACTTTAAAACCGCTATCATGTCCGCTCTGAGTCTTCTCCTCTCCAGAAACTAAATAAGCCCAGTTCTTTGAGTCTTCCCTCACAGCTCATGTTTTCTAGATGTTAAATCATTTTTGTTGCTCTTCTCTCGACCTTCTCCAATTTCTCCACATCTTTCTTGAAATGAGGTGCCCAGAATTGGACAGAATACTCCAACTGAGGCCCAATCAGCGCAGAGTCAAGTAGAAGAAGGACTTTTCATGTCTTGCTCACAATACTCATATTAAAGCATCCAGGAATCATGTTCGCTCCTTTTTTTGTTGTTGTTTTTTGTGTGCAACAGTGTCACACTCATGTTTAACTTTAACTTGTCTTCCACTATGACCCAAAAATCCCTTTCAGCAGTATTCCTCCCTGGTCAGTCACTTCCTATTCTGATTGTGAGAACTGATTGTTCCTTCCTAAGAGATTTATATTGTGCATTTGTCCTTATTAAACTTCATCGTGTTTACCTCAGACCATTTCTCTAGTTTGTCCAGATCATTTTGAATTTTGACCCTATCCTCCAAAGCACTTGCAACCCCTCCCAGCTTGGTATCATCTGCGAACTTAATAATCGTACTGTCTATGCCATCATCTAAATCATTGATGAAGATACTTAACAGAACCGGTCCCAAAACAGACCCTCATGGAACCCTACTTGTTATGCCCTTCCACCATGATTGTGAACCGTTAATAACTACTCTCTGAAAACGGTTATCCAGCCAGTTATGTACCCACTTATAGTAGCTCCATCTAGGTTGCATTTTTCTAGTTTATTGATAAAAAGGTAATGCGAGACTGTGTCAAATGCCTTACTTAAGATTACGTATACCATGTGCTCACGCCTCCCTTATCAACATGACTTGTTATCCTATCAAATTGGCTTGACACGATTTGTTCTTTACAAATCCATGCTGGCTGTTTCCTATCACCTTATTTTCTTCCAGATGTTTGCAGATGAATTCCTTAATTACTTGCTCCATTATCTTCCCATGCAGAGAAGTTAAACTGACTGGTCTGTAGTTTCCTGGGTGGTTGTTCTTTCCCTTTTTATAGATGGGAACTATATTTGCCCTTTTCCAGTCTTCTGGAATCTCTCCTGACTTGAATGATTTTTCAGAGATGATAGCTAAAGGGTTTTGTTAGGTTTGATATTTACAAAGAATTTTGGAACATGAGAGTGCAGAATGCTATACACAGTAATTGCTGTGTATTATTAGGTTTCTCCAAGTAACAAAATCTACTTCTCAAAAATAAAAATTGCACACCTGCGAATTTTAGAGATTCAAAAATGGGGGAGAGAAGGTGGTTAAGTACCCTCAATTCTGTTGTCATCCACAAATAATGAATTAGCATCCTATACCTTTTGATGCTTCACTGGAATTTCTGAAGTGCTGAACAGGTCCTACAGAACAGATTTATTTGTACATATAAAAAAGGAACGAGAGCTTCCTTAATGTACTTAATGCTGCAAAGGATACACTGGCATGCATCAATAGGCTTTATACTTTGACAATGATGATAAAAAAATTAAACAGTATTACCTATTTTTAAGGTCAAAGTCTATGAACTTTTTCTATTTGATGCAATAAACTGCATTAGCAGTCTGAACTGAATGACTTAATTATCTCAGACGCTTTACTTAATATTTTATGTCCTTGTCTGAATGTCTGGGAGCTCCTTAAAATCAATATATTATACTATAAACCTAGATTAAGAGAGCAATTTGGGTTGTTTATCTGTAGCTGAAGGGGGAGAATGAGCTATGTCTTGAGGCCCTATTCTGAACTACTAAGAGATTAAGTGTGAATATAAACAACGAGAAAAATGTTGATCCCCTTCAAAGGATCAAATCTCTGAGTAAAATATAATAGTCCTGTTCAACAACAGTTAATGACTAAAACTGATCACTGAGATTCAGAGATTTCAAGTCCTACAGGGGGAGATTTAAGGGCTCCTTAATATCACACAATAATTTCCAATATATGTTAAAACACTGCTGTACTTAGTAATAAATATGGGATGTTGGGTTCTTCTCTAACTTAGGTGCCCCCACTACAGTTCTATCAGTCCTGCAGTTAAACCAACTTCAAGATTGACTGGTAATCCTGTAAATAGGGAAATTTAAAACTTCTTAAATATAGTAAAGTAACGTGTCAAGCTGGATAATTTATTAATCATTTGCTAAAAAGTACCTGTGCAATGGAACCTACTGGTGCTTCCTGTGATCTATGAGTTTTTCTTCCTGGAAAGGAAGTCAACAATTCCTTTTTGTCAGGATTAATGGGAGCTTCGTCCACATACAAGAAAATTCTTGGGGGGAAAAATAGCTGTTTAAGCATTCCTCATTCGAAAACAAAATTCCATTGTCAGGGAAATCACTAATGCCCTCATAGTCAAAGGACTATGTCTCATTCCTACTAGTAAGCATCTGCTGGAGTGCAACTGCTTCTTTAGTTGCTAAGTAACAACCAACTCATTATATGCCATTATCAGCACCCTAGAAAAAGGAAACTGGCATCTGTTTCCCGTTTGGGGACACCAATGATTGGAATAATAGCAATGAAGTGACTGCCAAAAATCCTTGGTCTCCCAGGGTCTGGTATGTGAAATACAGCACGTGCTGATTTCAGCACCATTTAAGTTATAGGTTCTGTAGCTTTTGTCATCTTGACCAACACAGCACGCCAGGGGGATGGAATCACCTACCCCAGTCCTTGGCATATTAGTAATGCAGAAAATATCCTCCCCTTAAATTTTTAGATAATGCAGGGCTTATCTGACTGGGGAAATGTTTACCACAAAGACCTATTGTCAAGTCTGTACTAGAAACAGAGGGGAATTCACCAGCACTAGGGTGGGAACAGGCTGGGAATTAAATGATCTGGAGGAACTTGCTGAGGTCAAGACGACCTTTAGCAATTGCTCAGCTGTCTTTTTAAAATCACTAAAAAATCACTAAAACAGATGTCAACAGTGAGCAATGTGGGCCACTATGCAAAAGCCCAAACATGTAAGCTAGATGTCAACAGTGAGCACTGTGGGCCACTATGCAAAAGCCCAAACATGTAAGCTTAATGCAGTATTAATTAATTAAAAGAACATCATACTTCCATTCACACTGAGAAGGGAAAATAATCTGTCAAGAAACAAAAAAGCCACTCAACTCCATATGCCAAAGCCAGAAAATTAATTCATTGCCTAATGATGTATTTGCATTACAGAAACAATATCTAATGATTTTCATGTAATATATACATGACTACCTACCATCCAGAGTGTTTTGATACTGTAAATAAATAAGCATGTGACCAAGTATTTCCTAAAGATGTGCATCATTCCTTGTATTCATATGCAAGTATCTAAATCTGGTTTAGTCAAACCTGAAAACACCGCAATTCGAAAAAATAGTACAAAACCCACAAAGAACCATAAGGAAACATACAAACAGTAGAGCTGAATACTTTAAACATGCATAACCCATAGCATAGCCTTGTCTGAGAAGAATACCGAAATGCAGCAAGTTTTACTTTTTCCTTTTCCAAATGCTTGAGTTCCATTCTAGAATTCTCAATGAGGATGAAAGCCCACCATACTTAAGTTGAAGTCACTGCTTTAATTTTTTCCAATAAACAAACTCAATGTATAGGAACCAAACAAGAGACTCTCCAGAGAGATTTTATATCTTAGTAGAAGTCAAGTCTCAGCTCTTAACATCGATTCAGGAAAATTTTTTACTGATGGCATTACAACTACTCACAAGCATTAAGTTGACCATATGTTCAAGAAACTGAAAGAATCGTGGCCATTATGAATACTGCTCCTACACTGACTGGATCATTGTTCACATGTGTCCATTTCCACATTAGTGATAGCTGATGTATTAATCCTGAAACTTTCAACTGAACATAAAGGTATAGATTTTAAAATAATAGCTAAGTATGTAACTCCTACCAAGTTTCTAATGGCATTAAATGCCATTTAAGTTTTTCCAATTTCCCCTTTAATGATAAAAATTAAGAAGAAAATAAAATTACTACTATGAAGTATTTTCACTGTTGCTTGGATGCACCTGAACAGCAACTAAAAGCCAATGCAAACCACATTGGAAACTCCTGGAAAACACATATTTGACACATTGCGAATGGTGCAATACACATTGCACACTATGGGCATTTCTTTCAAAACTCACTCAAACTAGAGCTCAAATTTCAACAGACATTTTTTCTACCAAGCAATCAACAACCAACTTACCTGCCTCAACAATTTCTCTACAGCTGACATTACCATAAGTCCTCTCCACACAATTGGCGCGCTCTCTTCTATCAAGAAACCCATAGACATACTGAAACAGTCAAGCAAAAAATGATCTTTCAAACATGATACAAAAAATTATCCAAAAATCAATCTGAAAAATAGTTTGACTTAAAATAAAACCTATACTCACCATGCAATGCCATAGTTCTTAAGAGGTCTCATTAAGTTTTCTACAATGGAAACAAAATTAATTGATTTTTTATATTAATAAAATATATACTTTTACATTCATAAAATATAAACTTATTGTTTTCAAAGTTCCAGTCTAACACGGCTATCCCTCAGACTTCTTACTGAGTTTGTTTTTCAATCAAATCAGCAGTATTAGCTGCCTGATCCTCTTTCAGTGTTTTCTAAATATATCCACATTTTCAAAGTAGTGATTTGCATGATCGTGAATTCTCAGGCTCAACCCTTTCTTAGAAACTCAGGCTAAGCATACAATACAGATTTATATCAGTGTAACATTGCTGCTCAAGGGTGTGGATTAACACTCCCGTCAGCTTGGTAACATCTTCACTTAAAGCACTACAGCAGTGCACCTTTTAAAATATAGTCTGACTACAATCACTACTAGCTTGGCCTTTTAGTAATCTGGGATAGCCATCTGAAGCCTAATACCTTTATTGGAGGACATAAGTTACAAACTCAACGAAGCCTTCTGTGACACCATATGCAAAAAGAGAGATCAAGTTCTCTCAAGGGGTTTGCCCAGGGTGCCATGTGAACAATCATTTATGTATTATGAACAATACTTCCTTCTAAGAAAACCTGTATGATTCATTTATCACAAGCTAAAAACAATGAAAACAGCTTATCTAGCGTATAAGGGGAGAGGAGCAGGAGCCGGTCCTGGAGGGAGTTGCCTAAAAGACAGTTCCACCATCACCGTCTCTGCAGGGGGTGGGCACAGGTGAGGCACAGGCACAGTGGGAAACAGCTCGAGCCGGGTCCCGACTGCTGCACCTCTGCCTTAGAAACGACAAGAGCTCTTACTACATTTAAAAGGCAGAAGTGCAGCCGGCATAGCAAGCACGTCACCTCCCCCTCATCGACTCTGATCAAGTAGTTGATGGAAATTCCATCAACTACTTTGATTGATCAGCTAATAGAATTTACCATCCCTACTCAAGACACAAACTTTCTGAGATGTGTGTACATGTATTATTCAAAAAATACTTTGCAGACTTGGATATAAGAAGCTTCACAGGGTAGCCAAGTTAGCCTGTACAGAAAAAAAACAACAAATGGTCTCGTAGCACTTTATAGACTAACAAAACATGTAGATAGTATCATGAGATTTCGTGGGCACAGCCCACTTCTTCAGATGACCGGAATTATGAGTTTAGGATGTGCAGACCCAAAATAAATTGGAGAGGGGAAGGGGAGAGAGGAGAGGAAAAAAAGGAGGGGGTAGAAGACAGGGAGCTAGAGGAAATCAGTAAGTATCTGAAGATTGGGTAGTTAAAATGAAGCAGATAAGAATCAAATTCAATTGATAGTATCCTTCCTGACACAGGAGTCTACACAAAGAACTGTTTGCACCTTCATTGTCTGTTAAGTTGGCAGTGCCCCAACCAACCTTCATCACAATTGAGTCCATTAGCGTGTGAATTGAATTTGCAGAAGAACTCTAATTCCAATGTTTCTCTGTGTATCTGGCTAGTAGAACTGGTTTGTGACAAGACAGCTACTTGAAGATCTTTTAAACAGTGATTAGGAAGATTGAAGTGTTCCCTGATAGGTTTTTGTATGTTTCCTTTACGTGTATTTGATTTGTATGCATTGATTCTTTCCCGCTCCTTTACATGTATTTGATTTGTATGCATTGATTCTTTCCCGCAGACACTGTCCAGTTGGTCTAATAAATATAGCAGTGGGGCATTGCTGGCATAGATCAAATTACTGGATGTGCAGTCAAATGACCTTTTGATTTGTTAGCTTATGTTGTTGGCTCCAGTGATGAATTCGCTAGTATAGATATGTGGGGAGAGTTAACATCGTGTTTGGTTGCAGGGCTAGGTTCCTGGATGCTTATGATGTGGTTACCAGACCATTTGTTGGTTTTTTTGGATATAAGAGTTAGTCACCACAGGATAATGTCCATTTGAGCAAGAGAAAGTTGGCACTATTCCCTGGTTAGACCGTTACGTAATTCAAGTCTTGAGTGTCTAGCTATGCTCCATCTGAAGTCTATCAATGGAAAATCATCAGAGACAATCACAAACAACTGAAACCTCTTGAAGATCGAAAGGAACAGTATTACAAATGTAAGTGAAGACCAGGTCCTCAAGACGTAGCTGTGATAGAGGCTATGTCTTGAGAACCTGTCTATGAAAAGCGCCTCAAAAGAATGTGAACTGATATAACACACTTAAACAGAATTTGTTTCCTATAAATAGGTCTAGATAGCAAAAGAACACGGCAATTTTATTTTTACTATGCTAAATGACATTTTTCCCTAACCCATTTGGGAAATAAATAAGCCCTGGCCTTGAAATTAGCTCCAAAATCACCTTGGTACCTGCATGGAGCTTCACTGGCTTCAAAAGGCATTCCATGCAGGCATACACGTCTGCCTACAACATATACCATGGTGGTATCAGTGCCATACTCTGATGCGTGTTTACCTCCTCTGCTCAATTTGAAGTACTTACATGTCCCACATTTGAGCATCACAACCTTTAATGTATTTATCCTTACAAATCTCTTGTGAGGTAAGGATGCACTATTTCAGGACAGGACCAACAAGGAAAATAATACAAGACCTCTGGTCACCATCTGCAGCCCCAGCAAAAACTCCTGCAGTGTATTATTGGTAATCTACAACCTATCTTGGGAAAAGATCCTTCACTCTCACAGAGTGAGACAGGCCAGTCCTTATCTACAGATAACTCCAACTGAAACAAAAACTCACCATCAATCACACAACACACCACAGAAACACTTACCCAGGAATTTATCCCTGCAACAAACTTCACTGCCAACAATGACCACGTATCTATAAAAGCAACACTATCATAGGACCTAATCACATAAGCAGGGGCGGATATAGGGCAGGGCAAACAGCGCATGGCGTAACGGCGCGTGCGCCATGGCAAAGGGGGGGCCCCGCGGAGTTATGCTGCCTGGGGCCCCGCAAAACAGTCATCTGCCCCTGCACATAAACCACACACTCAGGAGCTCATTCACCTGCACATTCACTAATGTGAAACAAGCTATCAAGTGCCAGCAATGCTGCTCCACCACATATACTGGCCAAACTGGAAAGTCTCTGTGCCAAAGAATAAATGGACACAAATCAGGAAAGTTAACATACATAAAATTGTGGCAGAACACTTCTATCTCTGTGGACATTTGGTAATTGATTTGAAAGTAGCTATCCTCCTTCAAAAGAATTTCAAAAAACGCCTTACAAAGGGAAACAACTGAAGTTAATTCATAATTTTAATACAATCAATAGAGGAATGAATAAGGATCTTAACTGGTTAATCATTACAAAGGCAATTTCCCCTCTTTTGATATTCATCTCTCCACATTAACTGCTATGAATGAGACACTTCACCCTGACTTGATTAGCCACATTAAAACAAATAACCTCTTTCTTTTGCTGTTTTACATATACATACCCCGCTTCTGGAGTGAAGATTACAATTCACCTGATGAAATTGATTTTACCCATGAAAACTTATGTCTTAATGAATCAGTTAGTTTCTAAGGTGCCACAAGACTCCTTATTATTATCCCCATGTTATTAGTGGGAAACTGAGTCACAGAGAAACTATGGGTATCCCCATGTTATAAGTGGGAAACTGAGTCACAGAGAAACTATGGGTATGTTTACACAGCAAAGTTATTTCGAAATAACAGACGTTATTTCGAAATAACTTTACTAGCGTCTACACAGCCAAACCGCTATTTCAAAATTAATTCAAAATAATGGATGTAGTGGTCAGTTGCTGAAGAACTTTGTACGTGCTAGTTTAGGGGTGGCGAGGCCTGCATTCTCCCCCCTCCCCACCTTTTTCCCCAACTACTGATGAGCCAGAAGCAAGTCTTTGGGAACATACGCCATTGTAGCAAGAACAAATTGTAGATAAGGATGAGAACGCATAAACAATTCTGTTTACCCTAACGTACTGATCACGTAAACAGGGCCAAAGAACAAGATCAGAACTAGATTGATAACTAATAGCTAAGCCCTACATCAGCACGTAACGAGTAACCCCTGGAAATTTCCAAACTGCCAAACAAGGCAGGGAAAACTGTATTTAAGGCTGCCTCAAAGCCTAGCAAATTGAACCTCACCGATGGGCTTTGGGTACCAGCGCCTCGGAAGCTGAGACAACCTCCCACTTTGTCTGCAGCCTACCCAGGGTTCCAGGCTTGCAGGAAGGGATGTAAGATATGCCGCTTCTTTGTTAAGTTGTTCTTCCATTTATGGGGCACAGCTGTTAGCTGTCAGGAAATAAACTACTTGTGTTTGACAGATACCTGTGAGACGTATTTTGTACTTTGGGAAACCAGTGTCAGACCTTAGACTTACTCTGGCCAGCTACAGTGGAGCGCTTATTTCAGATTTGGTAAACCTCATTCCACAAGGAATAACGCCAAATTTGAAATAGCTATTTTGAAATAAGTGCTGTGTAGACACTTATTTCAAAATAGGGGGCCTTCAGCCTTCCCAGGGTGCTTTGATGGTCACTCCAGCCTCAACCAAGAACACTCCTCTGCTTCTCCCCTCCCCAGAGCCCTTAAAGGGGTTGACTCTGGTCACAGTGCCTGTGCCAGCTCTAAGCCTGCTAGTCCAGAACCAGCAGTCACTGCTCCAATACAGTGGCCCCAAAACATGAGCCAGCAAGACACTGGCAGCCAGCCCTCCACCGCTCCCTAGGAGCAGTCTGCCAGCTCTCAGGAGCCTACCAGGTGCCGGAGAAGGAAGGCGCCTTCCTGGTCCAGGGTGGAGATCATGGACCTTATTCAGGTTTGGGGGGGGGAAGATGCCCCCAAAGTCCATGATCTCCACACTAGACGGAGGAATGCAGTCGTCTAAGGCAGGATCGATGCTAGCCTGGCCGCCAAAGGCCACATGCGAACCCAGGTTTGCATGAAAATCGAATTGGTCTGGCAAGACTCCCAACCCTGAGCCCTGAGCTTCCCCTCCTCCTCC